ATTTAAAAGTGCGGAGCTCCAGTGGCTTTCTAATTTCGGAAAGGGAGAGCATTACAGACGTCCGCAGAAGCGCATCTGAAAGTGCGTGATGCTGCAGTGAGCGTCTTTGTTCGATGGCGAGCCGCAAGCCGCTGCAAGGATGACCAGAGTTTGCATGATGATGGTTTCTCATCCTTGATGAGATCAGCAAGGTATTGCGTTTCATTTGTGGTAAGCACTTTGTGTGTGTGTAATGAGTGCAACCTGCACTACCAACCCAGCGACCCAGGTTGGAGTCCCACTCACGGCCACCAACACCAGTTTTGGGCCTCCCCTAGGTCGACTCGGCCTTTAATTAGTACCTCATGCAGTGTGTAAACATTGCCACCAGGGAGACAAAGGCGGCAGGAAGTAGCGGTGATATTTTAAACAAACAAAATGGAAAAACCCATGCTTGACCGAGCATGCATTAATACGGCAGTGTACAAGCCCAAACATTTTTTTTCAACTTTTGTAAGCTTTGGGCTACGCTTTTTTTTTTTCAAAGAAAGAAAACACCCCTGAAGTTTGACCTGCATGCGGAGAGGGACCGCAGTGTTCGCGGCATGCGTGCCCCTACTGCGTCCACCCGCGGCACTACAAAGTGCTGCTGAGGCCAGCGGCCCAGCTGAACGAACGCCGTTAGCCCATGGGATACCTTTTTTTCCAGTTTCAAAGTATGACCATTTTTATTTTTCATACTTTGATACTGGCAAAAAGGTCCCATGATGTAGCTGCTCGCCCCAAGCTATAAATTCTATGATACATGCATTATCTTTGTACTGTTCACTTTTTGGCATTCGCTGGTCTGACTCTGGGTTGAGACAAGGCCATGAAGAAGGCTGTCTCTGGTGTAGGCCAATCAGTTTCAAAGACAATGCATCATATATTATCGAAGCGTGTTTGTTTGCATGTTCACCACAAGTACTGTGTGTGTGGTTAATGCAGAATTGATTCCTTGCAAAAGGTCTCTATTTGGTGTTTAAACATCTTAACACCTCCTGTTTTAATAATAGGGTTTTTCCCCTTTTTTCTGGCAACAAAACTGAAACTTTTTTTACAAGGATTCATGTCTGCATTAACCACAATACCTGCAGTCAAAATGCAAACAAAAAACATACTATGATAATATATGCATTGTCCTTGAAACTGATTGGTCCACACCAAGGGACGGCTTTCTTTTGAGCCTCGACCCAATTGGTGCTCGACCAGATGACGCCAAAAGGCGTACAGCTCAAAGACAATGCACTATCAATGTAATGAGGGCTCGGGGTGAGCATCTACATCATTAGACCTCCTTTCCCAGTACCAAATTGTAAAAAGATTTCAGTTTTGTTGCCAAAAAAAGGGGGAAAAACCCTATTATTATATTTTGGTACTGGCAAAGGAGGTCTAATGATGACGTCCTGTTTTATTGCCAGAAAGGGTAAAGCCCCTGTTTTTCTTTTTCTTGCCGGTAGCCCCCCACCTTTGGCAAAGAGAGCAAGCGAGCCTCGTTCAGCCCGGTTGAAGCGAGCAGCATAGCCCGGCTATGGCCGTTCGGTCAGCCTGGCCTGGTCAGACTGCCGTGAGAATCCGTGATGAGCACAGTTGACTACATGCGGTGCGAAAGAAGTTCGGCGTACTGTAACATACGGCGTGCACTCGGCAGATGAACTCGCCTACAAGCCACAAGAGGCGCCACACTTACAGGCTTTGCCTTGTAAGCGTGTCCATGACGAGGAAACTCATCATGACAGAAAAAAAGTAACAATTTTATGGGAACTTCTGAGTAAACATGGAACATCAACAGGCCCAACGTTGGGCGAACGGTTCCAACCGGGCTTGGACAAGGGGACCACAAATGCACTTCTTCAGGAATCGCCGATGGTTTTTTGTTGCATAACGTGCAGAGGTGGGGGGGGGGGGGTGCTTTATGCACACGTTTCTGTGTGTTGCCAGAGACCAAACGTGTACGAATATAAAAACGTTGGCAGTCGATGGATGGGGTTGAATAAAATGCAAATATTTGTAATAGAATTTAGCAATGAGCATCTTAGTTTTTCCTTATATCTGTACGGTACACAGACATGCCATCCACTCATGGCTTCGCTTGCATAGTTTGCATTTATATTATTTAGATTATTTTGGCTGCTATAAATTTCCACTTAATAAGCCACTTTGTTGAGCTATCATTTGTGGCCAGGTCACTTCTGAAAAATAAGCTAATAGCTCAGTGGGCTTTATCTGGTAAGATTAAAATAGTTTAGTCCTTATTTTTTTAAGTGATTTGTTTACCTTTCCTATAACTTGCACGCCTATTGTGTTGTTGTACTGTTTTTTGCTGTAACGTTCTGACCCCGTGCCCCCAAATCAGAATAAACATTCTGATTCTGATTCACTTTCGACTCTTAAGCGGCCTTGAGCACCAAGTCCCCCCCAAGGGTGTTGCGCACAATCAAAACTCCCTCCGGACTTCCCAATTTGCATGGCGAAGGGAGGAGATGAGAGACACGCGCTGCGTGCATTTGAAAACACTGCCAGGTTATCCCTCCCGTGCGCTTGCAAAGAAGAGCCCCTGAGTCCTAAAGATGCACGCTGAGGCTTATTGACTTCACACCCCACCTCCTCCTCTCTCTCTCCTTTCTTGCAGTGGCGACTTTGCCAGGGAAGGCCCTGGGGGAGCCCATTGTTTGGGCCTTGTGTTACTTTGTGACAATTAGACACAAGTAGACCTTTGTTGTTTAAAGGGCCACTGCTGGTGGGTTTTATAGGATAACCCACAGGTTCCTGTTTGGACCTTGTGATTGAGTGGCCATTAAATAAGCCGTTTGGTGACAGTGTTTGCTCTTTGCCATATGTTTAAGGCCACATTGGTGTATTTAGTTTCATTCTCACAGGGACTGTTGCAGCCCTGTGATTTGCCTGGGCCACAATAGACTTGATGCCTTGCAATAGGTATCTGTTTGGTCTTTGAACATCTTAACACCTGTTTTATTGCCAGAAAGGGTAAGGCCTATTCTTATTTTTTCATCGATAAATACTTGGATTATGAATGATAGATGCGTCACAATGAAAGGTGATTTGTCTTTATGCGCAAGCAATGTTGACTTCTCACAAAGTGGTACTCGTTTTATCGAACTCGGAAGGTATGATAGACAGAGTCAAACCCTGACTGGAATTTACAGCCATTTTATCAATCCACTGCTGGATGAAGGCGTCTCCGACACTGTCGGCAATGGGGGTTGTTTGAACATACTTCACCATGCTGGTCGTATGTAGTTATGTTGAACTTCTTTCGCAACCGTCCGTACGTAGCTAACCGTGTTAATCGGTGGTGCAGGGGAAGGACAATAAACTAAGCACAAAAAGCGTCGAGCACCGTGCGTCGAGCACTAGAGGGGGAGAGGGGGAAAGAGCGTAGAGCCCTTGCGATGAGGATCCTTGTCGAAATCCCCGCGTCAAGGGAGCAGCGTCAAGTTACCCTCCAAACACGGCATGCAAAGAGCATTTCAAAGGGAATTTTACAAAAGGCCCTAGATGCGAAAACAGCTATTTAGAAATTGTTCGCACATTACAACCACGCACCTGCGATCGGCCCTGTCACGCGGAGTGATGAGCACGCGCACGCACGCACACAAAGGCAGACAAATATTCCCTCGTATAGCCTTAAAAGACTGTTGGGGCAAATGGTGTTAGCGAGCACCTATGAAGGCCGGCACGGCACACGAAGGGCTGGGTGGCCAGCATCACGCCCGGCCGCCTTTGTCTGCCAAGTGGCGATGTTCACACACTGCACCGGGTACTCATTTGAGGCTGAGTCGACCTAGGAGAGGCCCAAGACCGGTTCAGATAATCGTCACCGGTGTTGGTTGCCGGGAGCGGGCGTCGAACTCGGGTCTTCGGGTTCGTAGCACAGCGCGCTAACCGCTACACACGCACACATACACTCTGCAGTACATAGACTATATGGGTGATGGTCAAAATGTTTTAGAAACTGGTTATTAATCGCGCCTGTATAATTGCTTCAAATTTCAGTATTTAATCTTTTTAGCTCGTGTAATCACATATTCTGTACATGTATAAATTATAACCTCTTCCAAGACGTCTGTCCTGCCGAGAAGAGTCGGACAAAATACCCCCCAGAGGCCGCGAGGCTCGCGAGTGGAAGCTCTTCCGCCAGCAGTTGCGTTAGCCAGCAATTGCAGGGCTGTACCTTTACCCATTGTCTACTTTTATTTAGAAATATTTTTATTTAGAAAAGCTACTTTTATTTAGAAATATCTGGTACCACTGCATGTATACATTACGCTTTTTGTAAAAAATAAATCTACACTCACAAGTGTATTAAAATAAAATCTAAATACAGTAAATCAATAATAACAACAGAGATGACATACGTTAATGCAAGAATGCGTGTACTATTTAGCGGTGTGCCAACATCAATATTGTTTTTGCTAAGTTATGAAATGAACTCGATTCGCCAGACATCTTAGCTGCACGTTAACGAGAGGCGAGGATCTGTGCCCGTTCATTGCGTCGACCTTTTTTCTCTTTTCTAAAATCCAGGGGGTTCGTCAATGTACACAGCGTGGCATACATCTCCAGCTGAGTGCGCGGTGAGAGAGGGCCTCACAATCCAAAAGGTTATACGTTCAAATCGCGGTTGGGAGGTCGTCCACCATTCAGCCCGTTGTTCATCCGAGGCAAATCGTCAAAACTAAGCAGGCCTCGAGCCTGGATGGTGCTCGGATGGGCGACCACCCCGCGCAAAACAGGCGCTATAGGCGAGGAGCGAGAAGCTTGCGGATCGTTCCACAGAGAAGCTGTGGAACGTGCCAGCCTGTGTGACTCGTAGCTGGCAGCTGATGGATCATGTGGCAGCAGGGGACGCAGCAATGAGTGCAGCGAGGTTCACTCTCTCTGCACTCCGCCCTGCAGGGGCTGTGCTGGAGCGCTCCTCACCCCAACGCACTCTCTCTCTCTCTCACCCTGTGTTGCAGGTTTTCCACTGGGCGCAGCTAGAAAACCTCTTCTTCCGCGAGAAGAAGTTCTCCGTAGAAGTGCACGACCCTCGCCGGTAAGATTCATCGCGGATGCTCCCCTCCGCGCGCACAAGACGCTGGTCGGTCGCCGGTGATGCACGGGCACATTTAACAATAAAACGCAACACGTTCGTCAATAACAACAACATTGTCGATCACTTTAAGGGCACTACACTGTGGCGAGATGTTTACTACCTCGCTTGGTTTACGGGAGGTCGTGGGTTCGATCCCGACCCTGATGCCTGTGTATCTGGAGTTTGCGTGTCTCTCCCCGTGGTCGCGTGCTATACATTTCCACATGATAAGCCGATTCGTTGAGCTATCATATGTGGCCAGGTCGCTTCTGATAAAGAGCTACATAGCTTAGTGGGTCTTACCTGATAAAATTTAAAAAATCAATGCCATGAAGACAGGCCGCTGCCCGAAGCGTCGCCCATCATATATATTTTTTATTTTAATGGCCGCACACACACGGAGTGTTATTATTGACAAACGTGTTGAGTTGCTGTTGTTGTTGATAGTGCTTGTGCACCACCTCCGATTAGCACGGTTGGCTACGTGCGGTGTGAAAGAAGTTCAACATACACACACACACACACACTGCCAATGCAGCGGCAGCATCGCAAGATAATTCGCGAGCGTAGAACGGTGTGGTGGCAACGTCTCGCAGTGGAATGCAATTGCAGGAAAATTTTCGGGAAAACAAATTAGTCCCCGTTTGCTCATCCCCAGCTTCACGATAATGTCTTGCGCAATATTCAACGGAACGGACGTCGCTGAGCTCGTATTCAAACAGGTTTTAAGGTTGTGTTGACGGTTCGTGTGAGGGACATCAACATCACCATCTTCATAATAATCATCAATATCGTGTGCATGATGCTTCCAGCTTGCAGGGCAGTGAGGTGATCACAAAGGTGGAGGCACAGCGAATCGGTTGCCAATGTCTTTAGCGCCGGGTGCTCCCGTTGCCTGCCATACAACGGATGGAAAGTCTGTGTCAACCCCGGCTCCCGCAACGGGAATGTGGAATTAGCACTGCTGCCTCGAGGCTTAACCAGCAGAGCGAGGGACAGCCACTTTTGACTTTGAACTTTTGATTTTGTGGAACTGCGAACGAACGAAATGCGATGCCTCCTTCCATTTTGCGCCCCGCATTCAGGGTGGGGGGGAGGGGGTTGGGGGGCGGTTGCCGACCACTGAACGCGGCACGCGGTTGTTAAGCCAACCGAGTGGTAAATGAAACGTACCGCACACGCCATCAATCCTAATGAAGATAAACCGTCGGCTCTCGAGATGCACGGAGGCCCCTTCAATTGCAAAAGAGCCCATCTTTAGCTAACGAGGGTTACGGCTGCTCTTCCACATTAATTTCCTGTTTTGGGTTTTTTTTTTCCCTTCTGTGTGTGTTCATGGTTTCATCTTTATGCTACTACGCGTCCGTGTGCGTTTGGTTTTGCTAAGCACTACACCGCCGCTTGTGGGGAGGGGTAGTGTAGTGGCTAGCGCACTGCGCTACGAACCCGACCAGCCGATTTCGATTCCCGCTTACAGCCGATCACAGTGGCGAATATCTGAACCTGTCCTGGGCTTTCCCCTTAGTTAACTCAGCCTTAAAAGAGTCACTTGGTATGAGGTTTAAACACTGGGGAGTCAAAGGCTGCTGGGCATGGTGTTGGCCACCCACCCCCTCGTGTGCCTTCATAGGTGCTCGCTACCAGCACTTGCCCCAAAAGTACGTTGAAGACTATACTGGGAACCTTTATCTTTGTTTCCGATTCCTCAATTTTTTTTTACGTAAGTCTCAATATTTGGATGAGCAGAGCTGTATGCACCAACAGAACACCCTGTTATGTCTCCCCACATTTAAACAAAATATACGTTCTAGTCCATCGAGCCTATTGGCTTTGCAGGCCGATATTCTTCAGCAGAGTTTTTTTTTAAGCAAGACCAACTCTGGACTGCCTTCAACGGTTCTGGGTCTCATCGGCAGAGTCGAGCTTGTTAAATACATGCTGCAGCATTGCCAGATGTTGCGGGCAAGAGAACTCCAACCTAAACTGTGGGGCCTTGGGTTAGATTACGTAAATATATAAACGTGTTGTCAAACCCGCCACCACCCGACACAGCCAATTAATAAGGTTTGTCACGTAAAAAAATGTGCCAATTTGTTACTAGTACAGCACACCGGTGTGGTGGAGAGCAAATTCACAATTTTTATAATCTGTACTAGTAACGAATTGGCATCTTCTGCTTACGTGCCAAACCTTACTAATTGGCTGTGTCGGGTGGTGGCGGGTTTAACGACACATTTTTATATTTACGCGATCTAACCCAAAAAACCTGTGTTATGGATGATATTGGTCGCGAAAGACTACGTGTTAAACTGTTGTGGGGCCTTGCTTGGCACAAACAAGCGCTCACTATGAGCTGATTCGCAGCGATGTGGTTAAAAGCATACGTGTGATAAGAGTGCTTGGCTCACTATGATGGTTGCAAGTTTCAATCCCGGTCGGGGGTAACAACTCGGGGCCCATTGTCTCGCTGCAGTCGGTAATACGAGGAGCGTTGCATTGCCACAAAATGAACCGTGGTCATCCACGGTTGCTCCAAAAGTATGTTGCGTGCGAAAGAACTGGAAATGTCAAATGTACACCACTGGCTCAGAACGGACCCCCACCGCTGGGAATGAGGACAACTTTGCAAAACATAAAACTAAACACGTTACATCAAAAACACCGTGCCCTTGAAAGGAAATACAGATGATAGGTGACGTTTTGCATAATGGCCCTTCTTCGGTGGTAATTAAAACATATCCCTTTTCATTTTACGCTGGCATCGTTGTCATTGTAAAAATCCCACGTGAAATTCACATCCTGTAGATGCCACGTCCTCCTTGTATTTTTATAATATAAAATCGTACGTCTTACCGTGACGATGACTCGTGGGCGTAATACACGTGCACATTTATACGCGCACACATACGCGTGCGCAAAGAGCACACGCGCGCGTATATAGAGCTTTTTTTTTTGCGGGGGCAGATGCTCACTGGTGTAGTGGACTGCTCAATTGAAGGGTACTCCAGTAAATGGGCTGGGATTCGTGTTACAGCATGGTCGGCGCTTTCAGGGCACATGGTTAACTTGGTCGATAGCGCAGGCGCACGGCACGCCCACTCCCGCTACCCACCCCCCCCCCCAAGAGAGAGAGAGAGCCGCATCCACGGGTTGTTGAGAATACGCTCGTCAAGTCGAAGCGTGCGTTCCTGCTCAAACGAGCATTGAGGCGGTTTGCTCATCTCGTCTGTTGATATCCCTGCAGAGCCATTGGTGGAAATTCAACATTCCGATGGTGGTGGCAAGTCTCTCCTCCAAAGAAACAACCGCTGTTGTTGACTGCCCCGCAGAGACTTAGTTTGCCGACCGTGCAATGATGATGATGGCAGTGGCCAGATGTTAACTACTTCGCCGGGTATGCAGGATGTTCGTGGGTTCGGTCCCGACCCTGACGCCGTATATTTAGAGTTTGCATGTTCTCTCCGTGATCATGTGGATTTTTCTCCGGCTTCTCCGGTTTTTCCCTCCACATTTAGAACTAACGTGCATTTAGGGTATTTGGCTGCTGTACATTTTCACATGATGATAAGGCACTTCTCGTTGAGCTATCCTTTGTGGCAGGTCGCTTATGACAAAGAGCTTTTGCGCTCAGTGGGCCTTAACTGGTAAAATCCAAAAAAGTGCTTAGTTTAGTTTTATCGTCGGTCAACCTTCTAATTTCTGAGCCGCTTTGCTATTTTCTGCTGAACCACCCGGCCAGGTTTTTTTTGAGAATGCGTGCGCGCGTCTTTTGTCCAAGAGCGTGAATGTCTTGCGGAAGAGGAAGTGGAGGGCAGGGGCGGGAGAGAGCTGTGCGTTCGACCGACTACGCGAGCTGTCTCCGCAGGGCATATCGTTGTCTCGAACTCTGGTTCGGACGTGTGGCTGTGTGATCTCCCGGTTACGCTCGGCGGGGGGGGGGGGGGATGCTACGATTGCGGGATGTTAACTCCCTCGCCTGGTATACAGCGGGTCGTGTGTTCGATCCTGACCCTGATGCCTGCTGTAGATATGCAGTTTGCACGTCTCTGTCCCCATGGTTGCGTAGATTTTTCTCCGGGTCCATCCGGCTTTTCCCTAAACATTTAGAATCGACGTGCATTTAGAGTATTTGGCTGCAATAAATTTCCACGCGGTAAGCGACCCCCGATTAGTATGGTTTGCTATGTACGGTGCGAAACAGGTTATGGATACATATGTAGATACTTCGTTGAGCTATAATTTGAGGCGAGGTCGCTTCTTAAAAATGGCTATATAGCTCGGTGGGCCTTACGTGGTAAAATAAAAAAAATAGTTTAGTTTGCGTTGTTTGAAAACTGCCGGCGTGAATAAAAACGCGTGAGTGCTGCATGGACAGCATCTCTTCTGTACGCATGTACGTTGAACTTCTTTCGCGCCGTACGTAGCCAACCGTGCTAATTGGAGGTTCAGGGGAAGGAACCGTACATATGTTGTCAAGCATGAGTTACATTCTTTGCCGTGTAGCACTACTATGCAAAGGGGTTAACGCGCTAACAGCCACAAGGCTACCTGGAAATCCCATCTATTTTGTCATTTTCCTTTTGTTCCGTGCGGTTTTGTATATTTTTTATTTCCTTTGTGTTTATTCATTATTTTTATTGCAGGGCGTCGGTGAGCCGCCGTTCGTTCGGGCAGGGTGACATCGTTGTGCACTCCTGGTACGGCTCCCCGTCGCTCATCAAGGCCGTGTGGGCTATGGCCATAAGCCAGCATCAGTTCTACCTCGACCGCAAGCAGAACAAGGTGAGGAGAGGCTTCCCCCCCGCGTGAAATTATGCCGCGGTCCCCATGCCCACCGGTGTGGGCGGGGTGGGGGCGGCGGGAGGGGGGGGTCGGCGGGGGGGGGCCGGGGGGGGGAGTCGGCGGTGGGGGGGAGGCCCCACCCCCCACCCTGGTTCTCAAACAGAGCAAGTGGGCTTGGCCTGTTATTCCCATGGTAGTAATAATAATACTTTAATTTGATGCGGCGTCATTCATGTCAACAGCATCCCACAACGCTGTAGATTAATTATATCTAAAGGACCAAATCCCATGTGCTGCGGTCATCTACGTACGGTGCCAAAGAAGCCGAACACACACAGACACATGCCAAGCAAATGGAAACACCCGACTACCAAACTAAATCAGAAATGAATAAACAAATTCGGAAATGGCACCAAAACAGAAAGAGTACAAACAGCCAAAAAGTTATCACAACCTGGTCCAAGCCGGCAGCAACTGGACTGCTTGGCTCGTCTTAACAAAGCGACAAAGGCTCGCTTTTAGCCCAAGTTAAATTAAACTAAAACTATGAACTATGTTTATTTTACCAGGTAAGGCCCACTGAGCTATACAGCTCTTTTTCAGAAGCGACCTGGCTGTCACAAATGATAGCTCAACGAAGTGGCTCATCGTGTGGACATTTATAGCAGCCAAATACCTGATTCTAAATGTGCACGGAAAAACCGGAGGACCCGGAAAAAAATCTACGGAACCACGAGGAGAACGAGAGAGGCATGCAAACTTGACACATACAGCAGAGCATCAAGAGTCAGGATTAAACTCACGACCTCCTGCACACCAGGCAAGGTAGTTCACATCTCGCCACCATGGCGCCCCAAAGTTTCTAAGTGGAGCTAAAGGAGCAGTCCTGAAATGTTTTGCTCGCACAACTGCTCGTGAGCTCTATAGACTGCCCCTCGAAGAGGGTATTTGGCCGACTCGTCCATGCCGGTCAGACGTCTCGCAAGAGGTGGGAGTACCCACACTTTACCCCACCACGTGCGACCTACCGATCGACTATGGTGTACTGTGGGTTGGGGGGGGTGGTGATTCAAGATTCTTGCCAATTACTTCAACTGCCACGCCGGGACATCGAACCGGTGACCTTCTGGACCAACCACGCCTTCACGGCAGCGTCCCAGCCCGAGCGTAGCGGTGTGGAGTCTGCGCCACATGACTTTTGCATCAAGTCCGTAGACAATAATTGTATTCCATAATACAGGTTTAGAAAAGCCTACGTGTTAAACCAATCATTTTCTTACGAACTACGATGTGGATCATGCGCCGTGAGTGCAAGGGCGGCTTCGGAGCGACGTGCCGACGATGCTTTGGTCACGCCAGCATCCTCCCCCTCCCCCCCCTCCTCCCAACCACAACCCCCTTCTCGCCTCCATCGGTAGCGCCTCGAACGCCCAGGGTCTGACCGCTGCTGCCGCTTGCGTATCTTTGTCGACGCAGGCGAAAATCCCGGCGGCGCGCAGCATGAGCGAGATTGCGGAGGACATGGGCGACCTGGAGCTGACGGGGACGTCGAGGATGAGCAAGGGACTCGGCGAGGGAGGCGTGGGCAGAGGCTCGTCTGGTACGGCTCAACTTTTGTTATTCTTCCGCCCACACACACCTCCATGTAAGCGCGTTTCGATACGTCCGCTGCGAAAGAATTTCAACGTATGTAAAATAAAAACTATAAAGTAGTTTATTTTACCAGGTAAGGCCCACTGGCTCTTTTTCAGAAGTGACCTGGCCACAAATGATAACTCACCGAAGTGGCTTGTCATGCTTAGCAGGGCTATAAACAAGAGGTGAGCACCAATGCCTCTGATTAATTGAGTAGGAAATCACTTCGATTTTTGTTTAAATTTTTAGTCTGGCATGGCATACGAGCAGCACCTGCTTTCCATAGTACAACCCGCACCTACAATTAGCACACTTGGTTACGTAGAGTGCGAAAGAAGTTAAACATGCATACAACATACCGTACATACATCGGATCCACACCAGAGGCCATGCTAAAACAAACCTGGCGTGCCTCAGGGAGGTGTGAGATCATTTTTCTACTGCGGAAGCTGAGCCGTACCGCTGACGTCACGAGCAGTGAACGAGTCGATTAACACCGGGGCAACCCTTGGCCCTGGTTTGGGCCCACAGTTAGATTCGGACGCCTCGTGAGGCCAGAGTTTGACGGTTTGGTTCTGGCTCGACCCGGCAGAAGAAGGCCAGTGGAAAAACAGCCGGCGTGGTGGAAAAAGGGGATACGATTTGGGGCGGTGCGGCCATTTCACCACCTGGATACCTTTGCCTCACCCCCCGGGGACGATGATATTTACACGGCACAGCAGTGGGGGGGGGGGGGGGGGAACTAATTTCTGCTTCAGCCTGAGGGGTGACCTTGTGGAGGCGCCGTGGACCATGTTCGTAGAATGAGTGCCGAAAAAGGTGGTCAAGTACGATCAGAATTCACAGCGCAGTTCACTGGAATCGAAGGAATAATCGCAGAGCAGAGCGAAAGGAGCGATTACATTAGAGGCCCTTAAGCTTTTACAAAATAACAAACGCAAAAAAAAACACACACACACACACAAACGTGGCATAGCCCCAAAATTCTAGGAAGCTCTTTCAGGGCCTTTTTGCAAACTAATCCACACGGCTCAGTGGCTGGTAGTGGCTGCAAGCAGCCCACATCCGCTTTGGAAGTGACACCAATTAAAATACTGAGAGACGCTCGTTATTTTTCCCAGCGATGTATCATTTTTCCTCGTTATCACATTAGCATACGTACGGCTCCACCTTGTCCACCTCCCCACCCCTGCTGGCAGCCACGCCAGCTCTCACGGCTTGGCTCAACACAGAACTTTTTTGTTTCTCTCGCGTCCTTTTATTTTTGTGAATCGAAGCGTTCAAAAGTCTGCAACACACCGCTCGCTCCCAATGTACGTTGTCACGCGTAGAAAAAAGCCTCGGGACTGTAACACGATTGTCCCCTTGTAGCCCTAATTGCAGATTTCCACGGATGGTCTTCCTGGCCTGACTCTTTGTGAACCCCCGGGAGTGTACGTTTCGATAAGCCCAACGTTAAACTGGGCGCAGAAATCAAACGCGGGTTGTTAAATGGCCCGCCAGTTGGTAAGGGAGTGCAGGTCTCATAGGTAAAGTTTTGAGTTTAAATGCACATCACGGGATGAATGAGCCCCCTTCCCTCCTACATCTCTCTGGGGTTAACAAAGTGAGTACCATAGGAATCAGAGGTTTTTGGGATGATGTCAAATGGGCCACGCATGTCTTTTGCATCGTTCGTGTGTACTTTGTTTAACAGCCAGAGGCAAACGCTGCAAACTGAGAACATGGAAATCAAGTCTCATATCTAATACGTGTTGTCAGTATTTCCATTACAATCCTCCTCGCTTGATGCAGGGAAAGCCTTGGTGGGTTTCCAGATTTTTTAAAATTTTATTTTGCACACGATTTCATTTGGAATATTTGTATATAATCTATCTATCTATCATGAGTCTTGTTATACCCGGTGGAGCAAAGTGAGGAAATTGCCTGGACAGAGGCCACACAAACAAGGAAATCCCCCCCCCCCCCCCCCGCTCAAACGGCGCGGCAGGGGATAGGTTGGTAGCAACCGACTTGTCATTCTGCCCTCCACTGTACGCCACCTCGCCAACCTGGCCAGTGTGGGTGTTGTGCACATCTCCGTACCGATCCGTCAACCCATCCTCGTGGTCGCCACGACGTAGACTTTTTGAACCAGAAGTGATGGCACGTCCATTGCGCTCGCGTGCCAGGATGTCGTTGGTTATGTCACGTGCTCTGAAGGGCCATTGCTCGAAACGTCAACTATTTTTTTTTTTTTACTTTTAAGGCCACATGCAGTGTTGTTGTTGTTGCTGATGAACGTGTTGAGTTTCGTTTTACTTGTGCAAGGGCATCACTGCCAACGCCGTATCACCGGATAAGTTGTTCATAAATTTGTTGCTTCCGAGGCTTGTTTCTCACACGTATAGGGGTCGGGCCCTGTGTTTTAAAGGCGGGTGACGAAGCCTGCAGTGGTGGTCCCTTCCAAATAGCCCTTTGCCTAACAACGAAACGGCGCACACCTGTGCGCCCGCTGCTCACAAAGGACTTTTTTTGTGTGTGTGTTTACGATGCTTAAAAATAAATAAAAAACACCGGTCGGTTAATTTAACCGCGCTTCCCCCTCCGGTGAGAACTCGCCTCCCTCCCACCGTGCGGCTCGCATGCGGGAGACGCGGTGTGGACGGGGGGGGGGGGGGCGAAGCGGGGGGATGAGGAAGGGTGACCCCCCCGGAAGGGGCTGAGGGAAACGCCGCTTGTCACGCCGGTGTGCGGATTCTTATTTTAAAACGGGGGGACGGGGGGGGGGGGGTAGGGACGCGGCGGAGGGGGGCACCTCTTGCGCAAATCGTGTCCCTGAACTGCGGAAGACCGGAGGGGAGGGGGGGGGAGATTGGATCCAGCGCAGGAAGTTTACTTGGAGGCCTCTTCCTGCCATTCATGCGTCGTCGGCTTGCGTCGGCGCTTCACGGGGCCTCCGGTGGTCTATGGCCCACAGTTTGGGACCCACGGCTCTAGGAGAAGCCTTTCACCGCCCATAAAAAAAATTGTTTTTAGCAATCACTGTTTATTTCTGGATTGAAAAGCCACTTCTGTAGGACTGATTTTTGTGTTTCGCGGTTGGCTACGTACGATGCGAAAGAAGTTCAACATTCATTTATTTATTTACGAATGGCAGCCTTCGTGGGTTTCAAGTTGCTTCTTCGTGAAGGCTCTGCATTGGGATGTTTGTCCGTTCAGTTCGGTGTGTGACGTTATGTCATGATCATTTTTGCTGCCGTATGTGTGTGTTCCCAATTGTGAACCCATGACACCTGGGTCTGTTCCATGACCTCCTGCCAGCGGGCGTTCGTCACTTTATGTGGCCTTAACGTGCACATAGCCTGGCACAAGCGCCGTTGGTAGCGGTTGTTGTTCCCAATTGAGTAATTTGCGGATTTTTGGAGCAAAAAATTCGGACCACGGCGCTGGCACACAGTGTGGTCTGCTCTTGCCAGTGACGTCAGGGTATATTTAAAGTCCACTATCAAGCAGACGGCACATGTTTATTGGCTATTAAATCCGCAGTATTAACCAGGGCGGCTGCCGAATTTGAACCGGGAACTTCTGCAGCAGGCTGTGGACACGCGACCGCTTAGCCATGTCAAGTACACGGATAAAATGCTTGGCTCGTGTGTGTACTCGTATAAAACACCTCATTGGTAGCACTATACATGTCATGACTTAGACAGCCTGTTGCTCATCGCTCTCGCCATTGAGAAACTCAAGTGTTTGGAAGTTTCACATCAAGCCAGATACAACGTCGACAAACTGTGATCTGCTGCGAAGGCAAACGTTAAAGGTCCCGGGAAATAATGCGAAACATTAGGACATTGTTTCATCGTGTGCAGGTGTCATAGCCTCGACGAAAATGTGAAAATCACCCGCAACTTATTCTTAGTATCTTTAAACAACGACCTCTGAGAATGGCCCCTTTGTTGTGGGCTTGCTTGGGCAGGAAAGCCTCTTTAGCCATCACATTGTGACAAGGTACATAATTAGTTTATGGATGCTGACATTAAATCTGTGTGTGTGTGAAGGGAGGAATGGGTAGCGGTAGTGTAGCGGTTAAGCGTGCCGCGCTATGAACCTGGTGACCCGAGTTCGATTCCCGCTCACGACCGCCAACACCAGTGACGATTATCAGAACCGGTCCTGGGCCTCCTCTAGGTCGACTGAGCCTCAAGTGAGTACCTGGTGTGGTGTGTAAACATTGCCACTAGGGAAACAAAGGTGGCCGGGCGTGGTGTTGGCCTTCATAGGTGCTCGCTAACAGCACATGCCCCAACAGTCTGTTCATCTTTATTTTTGTATGTTATTATATCGAGTAGGATATCTAGTATAGCTCAACCCATGTCACCTGGGTCTGTCCCACGACCTGTGAGCTGACACCTCATGTGGCCCCCAAGTGCACCTAGCCTGGCGTAGGCACTGTGTTGACGCCGCCGCTTGGTGGCGAACAGCGGCGGCTGTTGTTCTTTCTGGTACGTCAGTTTGGGTAATCTTTGCATCCTGCGTGCGTGTACACGTTTGAACATGCACTCTTAATCACGGGTGTGACAGCTGAGGCAACCGCTGAGACCGTGGAACAAAAATATCTCTCCGATCGGCTCCAGTGCTCCGTACTATTACGCCAAGCCAGCCCACCCGGGCTGTCACTTACAATGTGTGTCGTCGTCGACAATGATGGCGACGACGTAAACCTGCCCCCTTTGTTGTCCCAAATTGGTACCAGCTCACAGAGGAACGACGGCTGATGGGCAGGAGTGACTTTGAAGCCGCGCGATTCATCGTCGCTCGGCCTGGTCTGCGTGTCATCGCGCATCGCGCTGTACGTCTGTTGAACTTCTTTCGTGCCGTACCTAGCCAACCGCGATAATCGGAGGTGCGTGGGGGGGAAGGACAAGAAACTTAACACAAAGAGCAATTCTAAAGTGATGAGTTTGTGAATCTCGATGATTTAAA